AACCTCAACAACAAATACAGCAAATACGACACCGAAGACCTAATGACAGAATATGTGTAGGTAGAGTGTGGATGGGAAAACAAGTGGAAGCATATGAAAGTGTACGTATATGTTACTGTGAAAGCATTACAAAAGCAATACAAACAACAACTGATTTTGTAGGTGGCTACATGCTTCAATGTGTGTAAGCGTGTATGCGAGTGTGAGTGTATGTAACATTTGAAAAAGAAACGCACTAAAATTTCTTGTTATCTATAAGTTGAAGAAATACTGCTGTGACTTTAAATAAGCAGCAGAGCTGTGCGTTGAATAAAGGTTAGTAAATCCAAAGATAAGCGTGAGGAGTCGTCGCAAAGCGACAGACACATGGCGGACGTCAAAGAGCGGATCACACAACATAAATAAAGATAATATGAATAAGCAGCAGGGGTTAAATAATAGTCAAGTATGTACATATAAATTTATAAACATAAATAATGTGTGTGAATGAATAAAGATGTTTGTACTATGTACTATGGATAGTACAGATGCTAAGATTAAGGAGCATACTTAGTGTGATCCCCTTATATTAAAAATTTTCGGGGTAAAAGCAGCCACTATTCGATTCTTTTAAAATTTTAAGTGTATTTTCATGCATTCACATAAAAATTTTTGAGGAAAAATATTAAATATTTTTTGCGTTACACGCGATTTTGAAAGGCTCTACAAAAAGGTCTGCCACAGTGTGATATCGACTCTATCCGTGATTGAAAGCATGGTAAAAAAAAAGGATTCTCTACTAAACGATATTCTTCATACAATTGGCCTGCCAAATAATACTCATTTTGAAACGTAACAAACTCGATAGATACGATTTCGAAAAAAACGCGTTCAAAGATAAAATAATGGAGTTGATTGAACTAAGCCGTTATATTTCAAAACGTTGTAACTCAAAACCTATTTAATATATCGGTCTACAAATTCAGTATGTTATTTTTAAAAGGTTTAGTCGAAAGAATGATATAAAAAGGTCACTATGTTTTGCGGAAATGATAATAAATACATACGATTAAATTAAAAATTTAACTCACAAACCCTCCTGGAATTAGTCGTTATAAAGTGAGACACTTCTTTTGATTCTCTACTTTTACTATTTTCTGTGTGTATACATATATTATATTTTGAAAATTCATATGTGCTCGTTGTTGGCTCAAAACAATAATAGCCGTTCGAAATCAAGAAAAACTATTATAATTAAATCCATTAGTAGAGATATATTTCAGAAACTACAAAATTATTTAATATTATTACTCAATGATTTAACTCCAGTACCTGTCATGAAATTATATGGTTGTGACAAGAAAGTTGTATGCCAAAAGTGAGTTATATGTACGATAGCAAATATTGTCTTAATGTCATAAACTAGGAAGGTGATAAGAAAAAAATCTAAACTTCGGCTGTATCGAAGCTTTAATACCCTTTATAAATAAAAAGTTTACTTGCAAGGTTTTTATTTTGATTGGTCAGTTTGAATGGTACTAAATGCTTTAGTGGGCCGGTCTGATTTATTCGGAGAATTTACCGTTGCCTCAGACAATAATCTGTGAGAAATTTTGTGAAGATATCACATCACAAAAAAAAGTTGGAATTCGATTTAAGCAATTTCTTCGCAGATTATGCCATTGTCTTGGAGAATAATCTATGACAAATTTCGACAAGATATGTTTTTCGATCTTTTTGTATCGCAGCTTTTACCTAAAGTGATCAGATGGCGGTGGTTTCGACAAACAAGCAACTTCTTGGGGAGAAACGGGCGACGACGAAATAGTTCGGGTATATAGAGACTGATGGATAGGTGAAACCGACTCTGCTTTTCACGCTGATAAATTATATGTATACTTCTCTCCGAATATAATCTGTGTCAATATGTGCACAGCTGACATTTGCTTCTGGGTATTCCAAACTACATGACAAATTTAATATATTATATTCCATTCAGGGTATCAAAATACTACAACCATAATAGTTTAGATTTTTAATACCCGAACCAGCTTGTATAAACTATACATACATGTATAGTATTGTTGATTGAAGTTTTTTTGCAATACGTGCAAACCCTTGCAAACATGCAGCCTTGAGTAATGTGATATATAAAATTGCTTAATTTAAATATTGAATTAATAATGCTTTTTCTCGCAAGTTTTTATAAATTTAAATATTTTCATCAAATAGCTTTGTATTCACAGATAGGCAGTCGGCATTGAAATCACAAAATTTTTTTATGGATTCATCGAAAATAGTAAAATAATATCTTGATATCGTAGTGGATCTGTTATCTTCATCCAACAAACAGGCAAACATGGCATGAAAGGAATATGCGCCACTCTTGCAGACTATTAAAATTCAAGAGAAATGACATAAGATCCCATCAGACTGGATATACCATACAACGATTACTGTAGAAGCTGCCAACAGAAAAAAGAAGTAGGTAGAGACTGTGAAACATCTTTTAATGTAGGAAAAGCTTTGTATAGTAAAATAATCGCAACTTTCGGTTGCGTGTTTCTTGCCGATGTCTCGTAAGTGCACACATAAAACTTTTTGCAATGATTAGCTTCATCACAAGTTGACTCAAAGAGGAGTGAATGGATTTCAGTGCCGGTGGTTTGACAAAGAGCCAACAAAGGCCTTGATGCGTAGTCAGGCATGCACTCTACATATCCACCTACCTAGTTCCGTTAAATGACACTGAATTGCTCTTTCATTTACATCACTGTATGCGACTCTAAAACACAACTTTTCAGGTTGTACGTGGCGTATACGTAATATTTGCTACATGTGAGAAATTCAAATGTATGTCATGCTTGCATATAAATAGAAATATATACATAATTGAAATATTACCTAGTCAACGAGTCAAAACCTTAATTTGCTAAAATTTTTAAGCTAAATTTTAACTTTAAGCTTCAAAGAATATTACAGTTTGTCATTTTCAATAACCAGATATTAGTGCAGAGACATCAGAAATTAATTTCCATTGGTTATACTATTATTTATGTATATAACACTATTTACAAAATATTTATGTAAAACATACATACGGGTATATATATATATATATATGTATTTTCACAAATTTCCCTATATTGTTTGTATATACTTCCCTACGCATAGACCCAGTCACCTATTAGCACACTTTTGGTAGCTTGCCTTCATTTATGTACTTTTGGCCTTATCGCATAAGTCTGCAAACGTTCACCCTTTTCTCGGGTGAACAGTAAATAATGATGTGCGCGTGTATTTGTGGGAGCGCTGTTGTGTGTGACGTTACACTGCGTGAGCTTATGATGCCTTTGAACTCATTCTATGGTGTTTGTTGGTACTTTTGGTTTACTTGATGACTTCAAAATTGTGCCATGCAGCGGCGAAATAATATTCAGCAAGACGAGGAAGAAAAGGTGGATAAAGAAAAAAGGAAAGCTAAGCTCAAAATGAGATGCCTGGCAATTCATCACGTAGCTTACTAACATGTAAGGCAACGCCAGCAGCTTGCCTCCATTTACACGCTCATGCTTGCACACGTATGCCTGTTTGTAAATGTGTAGGTGTGTTCTTGTCCTATTTGTATTTGATTGAAATTCGCACGTAATTGAGGTGCGGTTTACAGTGGTATAAATGTTGGTAGCCGCGGTTGAGACGCCAACGCTTTGACCTTGGTAAACGCACAAAATGTGTTTTTAAGGTAAATCTGTACCTAAACAGATGCTTGTAATACACTTACTCAGCTATGATGCCTTTGAACTGAAACGTGCCTTTACATATACTTATGAGCCTGCACGAGTAAAATTGTTGAACTTTGACATATGAGCCCTTCTAAACATAATACATTCTGCAATCGGGTTAAGTACTTAAAGCGATTTTACATATTTAGTTGTGTAGAGTGTTGTTTTTTTTTTACATTTTTGAATGTTTGTTTTAAGCTAACAGATAAAGCATCCTTTGTTTCATATATGATTCTTTTTAAATGCTTATATAACGTCTAGTAAATACAAATTTCTTTACATTTGCATGTAATTGAAGGGGTTTGACTTAGTATAGTTAAAATTATCCGATTTAGGTCAAATATGAACCATTTTTTCCATAACATGTTGTGAATTTGAAGATAATCTCATAATAATCATCACCAGTACTCATCCGCTTCAAGAATGGAACGATTTAGGCACATTTAGTGTAACTGAAAAACTGCGGTTTTTGTGAATTAAACAAAAAAATATTGTTTAGATTATTTAAAATTATTATTATATTTCGACAATGACATAAAAATAGCCGGAACGCAATCCACAAAACCTAAATTGCGCATAATTGGTTGTTGTAATCTGAGAAATTTTGTTGGTACTATATCTGATCTTTCAAATGTCATATAGCGTTAATCGATCGCACTTATACAACCCATGATAGACTACTATACTACTGATACTAAACACAGCTATAGGAAAAATAATGGATTTCCTTTTTATATAAGATAAAAATGAGTAATGTTAAGTATTAGCTACATTAATTTGTGTAATAACCATTACCAAAAATTGAGACAACTTTTAAGTTACTAGTAATCTCCTTTAAAGCTAGAGATATGTGAATGGAAGTTTTGACTTTCTGTTTGAATAAATTTTTATAAAAAATATTTAACTTCATTGACCAAAACTATTTTAAATGCGAATCATTGCAGTAGAATGTGAAATGGCAAAAAGTTTTACAAATTAATTCATCAGTTCGATCGAAAATCAGCAAATTTTTGTCAAAATTTTAAAAAAGTACTGATACGCTATGGTAAACTTGTGCTTTTCATACCCTAAATAGGGTATATTAAGGTTTATCAAGCCTACTTCTATCGATCTGTTAAAAAATAAAACAACAAAATCAGCCCAACCTTTGTCATGTAACACTTGCAAATATATTATGTATTAATTATTAACTATTTTAAAAAAATGAAATAAGTAATAAAATGTTACGTTTTATTGTAGGTGAAAAAAGAGCAATAAATTTGTAGTGCCGAGAATTTCAAGGGAAGCAGCTGATCATCACTCTTACTAATATGTTTGCATTGCTAATCCACAGAAAGGTAAAACTTCAATGAAAACATTTTATCCTGATCTAAAATCGACAACCGCTCCAATATCATATAAAGAAAAAAATTCTGTACCTGTGTTGGAAAATCAACTACTCGCTCAGAACAGCCATCCATCACATAGTTCATCTGTATCCATGCGTTCCCGTGCGCAGAAATGCTGTGGACCGGTGTAATCAGCCAAGCAATTGAAGCAGAGCGGAAAAAATACAATTATTCAATAATATGCGCGTGCATATATACAAAGAATTAAAATTTTTTTGCTCTTAAGCTTTTAGATGCAACGTGTTTCCTTTGTATGCTTCGAAAGCTCCTCATGCATAAATATACATCTATGCAAAGCACATTTCCGCTAGATAATCGCTTATACTTCAGCTGATTGTCAAGCACAAATCTAGGCAACACGTCTCTTCTATTGTCAGTCGGTTTTACAACAATGTTGCCAGCAACAATGCTGCCACTGCCACTGCGGCAGACGGCTAATAGCCTTAGCTCGTTGCGTTAGAGGATTTTAATCTCTTTATCACATTTGTAATTCTAAGCACGTTCGATACGCTAACGTCGCTGCCGCACGCATTGCTTGCAATATCCTGTCACCCAGACGCCCATGCTTCAGCTACGTCATGTCTCGTCAATTCTCGCAACAATGCAAATGTTTGGCGGTGCAGGTGTGTTCACACGTCTAGCTATATATGTGTATATGTCTGTACATTTCTGCATATTTGTTGTTTTGCTGCATGTCTGTCTGCACGCAAATTGAATGAATGAATATAAATATGCTCTGTTGTGGGTAAATGACAGACTGCGAGCATATAAAGTAACAGCACACCTACATATGTGTATGCACATGTGTGTTTGCGCGCATTCATTTGCACTCGATTCGTGCTTGGTTGTGCTCTTGTGCTGGCAATTCATGCCTCAAGTATACTATTGTATATTTACGCAGCAGCATAATAGGGTAGCGCGCATTGAGTGCCTGAGAGCTGAATGAATGATGCGCTGGCGGAAAAAATGCAAATATATGTGTGCATTTACATACACATTAAGATTGTTGCTCTGCCATTTGTAGATTTGCTCCTGATCTACTTTTATGCGAATATGTAAATGCGCGCCCACACATAGATGAATTTATTGTTCAATAAGATGGAAAACCTCTGTTTAAACATAATATTTTAGGAATTTAATGCAATAAACTCTTGTGGAAAAGCAGAATCTAATGAGGGTCAATTAATTAACATTTTTTGGGAAAACTAACTTGGAATGAAATTAAAAGATATTTATTCCACAAGCGTTTTTATATAGTTGTCATTTAGCGTAAAAATGTTATCTAATAATTCAAAAATAAATAAGAAAATCTTCAAAATTACATATGTAGTTACGACTACTTATAAATTAAGCGAGTTTAAAGATTTTGATGTAATATTTTCGATATTTTATAGTAAATATTCGATTTAATTTACTATGGGTTTTTGGTGTGGTATGTATATTTGAAAACAGCGAAAGTAGAATATTTTGCAAAATAATTTTCTAAAACTGTTTAGTGTATAAAGACTTTCAGCATGTACGTAAGTGAAAATCTCCAAAAAATACAAAAAAATTGTTTGTTTTAGTAGGATATATAAAGAGTCTTAAACGACAATATGCTTTCCTTAAGCGTTAAAATAAATTTTGAGTCAAAAACCGTCAAATTCGGTAATTTTTACAATATATAAATGTGAACAGCTTAAACCAAAAAATTTTTAACTCTAAATTTACATTAAAAGTGAGTGGGCCGGGATGTTAAAAAATTTTATTTTATTTTTCCAAAAATTTTCTTTTTCTATAATCTACAAATTTTATCCTCAGGCTAAGAAAAAAAAAATTTTTTTTTTTGCTCCACCCTAATATATAATGTTACTAGAATACCATATACTTAGATTACCTTTATTGCCACTTTACGTGTTTTTCTTGTTTTTGTACAAGCATCCGTTATTTCCTTAACACATTTCTTAGCAAAAATTTTCTTCTTAATGAAATTACTCTTGTATATGTACTAGAGCTTAATATTTATTAGCCCATTAAGTAAATGTTGTGTAATAAAACTCTTTCTAAGTAAAATGCGTAATTTCTTATCTCTCTCAGCATTGAATCTACTTTTGTGTGTCGAGATGCTTTTTGTAGGAAAGGTATGAGTGATGTTCGTGTGGTTGGAGCTTTTCAGCAAGTATGCTTTAAATTCTCATCTGATGAAATGCTATCATTGCTGGCACCTTGTACAAAATGTGGTACGATCTGTTATTCCTTTTAACTGGTAGGTCATATAACTTTCAAACAGTACTTTGTACCACGAAACGAAAATGTTAACTTAATACTCCCACCGCGCTGCTTCCTGGCGCATATGTATCCGACGATAGCGTAGCTAAGCCACTAGCTTGGTTTCAGTCAAAGATAATATATATAGTACTGTATTTCGGTAAGACCAGAAAATAAGTCCAAATTTTTTATTTAGCGCTGTCTAATATGATGTCTAAATATGAGCACATGCTCTAGGTTACTATACAACATACAAAACAGACAGATTGAAGATCAACAAGTTATAGCTATTTGAGTCAAGAGGGAGACAAGAGACGATCTTCTCCTCCAGGCAATTAAGTAAAACGCAGTACAATTTGATACTCAGGCCTTAACAGTCACACTACTTTGAATATCCAATGTTATTGAATTCTTAAACGATTGTTAGCCTATATTACAAGTTTGCTTTCCCTTAAGAAATTTAAGGAGACATGAAGATTCAAACTCCAATTCGCAACAAGTTGAAACAGTAGTCGGACAGTGTTCGGTTAGAACACAGACATCTTCGTGGAGCGCTCTAAGAAAATATCATAGAAAATGCTGTTTACTAAAATAGTATAATTTTCATCAGTAAGCATTAAGCTCTCATCTGAGAACATGTTATTGTGTCGTCCTCGTTTGCCAACTACTGTAAACGCTTTTATTTTGCTATCACCCTTAGCATAATTTTCGGTTTTTCCATCCTGAAATCCAGCATTAAAAATCCAAAATTCTAAATTCTGAAATCTTTGAGGCAAAAAATACATTGAATACATTTTAACCAAAACTAACATATATGTAAAACCAATTTAAATTTTTTTTATATTTTCTCTAGTGTGTTGAGTTATGAGAAGCGCAGCTGCCACTTCATTTTGTCAATTTCCAATATTCACAAATTTATTGCCTACACTTTTTGCATGCCCAACGATTTTATGCTCAATATTGCAGCTAATAAAAATCGTGGCAGAGGAGCAACGCTAACAGTAACAGCTTGCCTGACGCAGCGTAACATAAATAACTCATAAGCAACATACATTACAACTAACATTTATAATCGTCGGGCTGGCAAGTTGACAGCGAGCAATTCACAATCCGCAAACACACCCACACACCTACGTATGAATAGTGTAAGAGCGCACACGTTCGCAATCATATCGTCTAAATGCGGCACGCCCATTCAGTGGGGTAATTCAGCAAATGGGCGAACATAAATCAAGCGTCGGTAATAGTGATGTGCACCAACGCCGCGGGCACTTTCTTAAGAATAATATTATTCTTAGTCATTTTTATTGTGCTCATATTTCACGACACCTCAGCGCGCACAAAAAGAGTTATGCGCGCCGGATGCGCTGCGACTCAAAGTTGACTAACACATTAAAATATATATATATATATATATATGTATATGCATATGTATGTGCATGTATGTATGCATGCCTGTAGTTTTCGCATGCATTCGTTCGTGCGCGCACAGGCAGTCATCAGCTGGCGGCGGAGTGCACGCTTCCTCAATTCCCAGCGAGGTTAATGCCTGGAAGCGTCGCATTGCGGCATATTTTGTGACGCGTAAATTCACAGAAGTAGTAAAGTTGTTCCTCTTTTCTGCATTTCCTTTCGCTATGTGCACGGCAGGGGATACACAGTTAATGGTTTAAAAACGTAAATGGAAAAGCATTTCGCTTTTGTGAAATTTCAAGTGAATTTGCTTTTGTAACTATCCGCTTGAGACTAATGCGGCGTTTATACGAAAACTATGTAAATGATTATTCAACCTGTTATCATTATTGGTTGGCATGATAGGCGCGCTCTTTTAGTATAAATTGGAATATGTGCGATACGAAATAAAGAAAATGTGATTTTGTGATAGATGTAGTTAGTGGATATTACTTAGTAGGGTCTTAGTTTTGACACAAGCTTCCCAGCAATATTTTAACTGTTTATTTTAAGTTTCCTCTCGATTCATACAAATGTCTAATTTAATCCACCAAGTATTCATTTTTTCCTGGAATACTTAAAATTTAGGCGTTAGAGATGCTCGTCCAAGCATCTACAAAATTATGGCGAGGGGATATGTGAGATCAGACTTAAATAGCATGCAAACCAGTGCATGCAAATACCGCCTTAAAATATCCCTTCTTTGAAGGAACAGTAGGTGCATATCACATCTCGGAATCGTAGTGACAAACTTTGTTGATACGTACCAACGAAAGAAGTTGAATTGAGTATAACCGCTAAAACGAACTACCGTACGCCCACATTACAGAATTAAGTAGGACATTGATCCACATATCGATATATTTATAATATTTACTTAGGGTTAGCCACATTGGACTGGATTTTTTTCCTTCTAATCTAGATCGGTTTAATCGACATTAGATTCACTTGCATTTTTGTACACTTCTAGACACATGAACGCCATATGCGTTAGCCCAATTCATCCATCAGGAACCGCTTCGAAAACCTTAAACTTTAAGTTCCACAATTTTCAGTTTCAATTTCCAATAAAAACAAGAAAAGTAATCACAGCTTACAAAGGAAGCAATGCGTGCCGCCACCACAAGTTTACCACAATTAAGAAAATTTTGCGCTGAGATAATAATTCCTCATGGCGGCGGTGTTGGGCACGTGACGGACGGATACACGTTTCGCATCCATCAGACCGAAGTTGAACACCGAACACAGAAATGAGTTGCGTGCGTATTTCTGTTGTGATTTTCTTGCTTTGGCTGTTGTCCCGACTGTTGTTGTTGCTGCTGCTGTTTATTTTACGTAATCATTCATTTTAGCAGCGAGTGTTGCCGCCACAGATCCATACAATCATTCAAGAATTTTATTGAGCGGAGAGTTAAAGGATCTGCGTTTGTGTGCGGTGCTTTTGTGCGGTTATTTAGA